CTTTTAAAGTGTTTGAATTGTAAGGCTGTGAGACTTTTTAAGTTTGTAAAAATGTTTTATATTGTGATGTCTTTATTGATTTGTGATCTTGGGGATGATCAAGAAAGGAAAGGTTGTGAATTAACAGTGATGTGTTTGTGTGTCAAGTTGATAAGGAGACAGCTGTGCTGCTTGGTCTTATGTCAACTTGACACAAGCTAGAGTCATCTGAGAGGAGGGAACCTCCACTGAGAAAACACCTCAGTACGATCTGGCTGTAGGCAAGTCTGCAGGGCATTTTCTTAATTAGTGATTGATGGGGGGAGGGCCCAGCCCATTGTGGGTGGCACCACTCCTGGGCTGCTGGTCCTGGGTTCTATAAGAAAGCAGGCTGAGCAAGTCAAGGGGAACAAACCAGCCAGCAGCACCCCCTCCTTGGCCTCTGCATCAGCTCCTTCCTCCAAGTTCCTGCCCTGTTTGAGTTCCTGTCCTGACTTCCTTTGATGATGAGCAGTGATGATGAAGTGTAAGCCAAATAAACCCTTTCCTCCCCGAGTTGCTTTTTGGTCATGGTGTTCGTAGCAGCAATAGGAACTGTAGCTAAGCCACCCAAGGGAGTCAGTCCCTAGAATCAGAGAGGAGAACGAGGTTGCTGAGTGACCACACACCAACAGGTCCCCATACCTAGTCCTCCTTGCTCTGGCCAAAAATGCTTCTCAGATGTACTTCAAATATACTTTGCAAAATACTTCTCCAGTTCACACTTGCTTGCCGTTCCTCGGGCCGCTGCAGGAACAGCCAGCCCTGCAGCCAGCCCTGCAGCCAGCCCTGCAGCCAGCCCTGCCGCCCGCTCCACCTCTTCCCCTTTCTCTCATCCAGAAGCACCCAGTTGTTTTTGGCTCTCATGCAAGACTCCTCCACAGTTCTCAATGCCTCCCCAGGGGAGCGTCCAAGGGACCCAAGGCTGTGGCTCGGCTTCCTGTGTCATGTGGGCCAGACAAGCTGGCTGTGGGAGACCCTCTGCGTCTAGGCCATTGTCCCATCTCTTAGGAAGTCACCTCTCTCTCTGTTCCTTGGCACTCCTATTTATCCTTTTCCAAGTCACACATGGCCTCTTTCCCATGGCTTCCCCAGATTCCCAGCAGTCAAGGGCTCTCTGGGCTGTGATTTCAGGACCACACCACCACATCCTGGTAACTCGATGACAGTGGGTCTCCTGCCTGGATGGTCCAGACCCTGGGAGGCAGGTGCAGTGTGCACAGCCTCAGACATTAGCTACATGTCCCTTCCAGCCTAGGTCTCCCAGCCCCGCTGTGGACATCACCAGGAGCCAGGGAAAACCCCAGCCAGGCCTGTTTCCGGCTCTCCACATCCGAACAGGTCTTCGTTGCCCTCGCTTCTTCCTCTCCAGAGAGTTCCTTATCTGCAGCCCCCACCCACCCCAGTGTGAGCTG